GCGATTTAATCAGTACATCAGCTGTTAATACAGGAATCAATTCATCAACTGCAAAAAACATCTTGCAGTGAAGCAAAAATAGAGGCGATTCATTGGAAATTATTACATTTTACACTGCAAAGGAAGGAGAAAAATTGTTAAATGGTGTTCTAGCTATATATCCAGAGAGTGAATACTTGGCCCTACTCACTCAACAAGAAACAAATAAAATAGAGTATTATATTATAGTTACAATGTTGAGTCATCAGGTAGGGCATCAGTAGTTAAAATTGTCTCGTTTTTCCTCCCAAGAAAGGAGAGAGCTGACTTATGTATAATGTTTGTTTGTTTGTTTTATGGCTTTATATTTTTAGCTTTCATTTAGTTTTGCCTCTATGTTTTTAATAGAAACCAAATGAATTTAGGCTGTGACTGATTTTTTTTCTCAACAAAGAATTCCATTGATACAGAGTTTAAGATCTGTTGTCACAGAGTTTGGTAGAAAAGTGCGGCTCCCAAATATGCCCAATGAGAGAGATACTTGCATATATCTTTTTATGTATATGAATATACATATAAAAATAAGGAAATACATCAAAATTCTATGTATAAATAGAATGTAAGGATAAAGTCTTGAATTTTGGATTATTTTGAACCATTATAACTGAAAGTTTATATGCTTCGTGCATAAGTCTCATTGGTTGATAGAGCCCAGGTGCAAATAAAATCTCCATCAGGAGCTGTAATTTTCTGTTATTTTATACTACAACAGAGAAGGGTCCATATGCAGCTGGTTTTTGTCTCTTATGTTTCCCTCTTTTCTCCTTTTCTTTCAATCTCAACTGCTAAGTGAGCGTTAGGAAAAAGTGAAACTAACGATTACAAAAATAGAAATAATTTTAAACAGCAAAATAAAACTTCTGTTACGTAGCAGTTTCTTCACACACCTGACCAAACTCTTAAAATCATAGAAAGCAGATGTTAAATCATAAAAATTTACAGCTTTTACTCTTCCTTCTTTATGTTACAATTTCAGTTTAAATTTTAGTTCAACAGCTTCCAACATTAGACCTCCAATGCTTGATACAGTGAGCACTAATAAACCTTTGTGCTGGTCAGTGGAGCAGCTGAAGGTATGTAGTATGCAGTAGCTTAACTTTATTTCTGTGAATTTTGTGAATTAACATCCACTGTATCTCCCTGCCTGCTCAGAACAACTTTTCATTCAGCGACACTTTCAGTCTGACAGTCTGTTGGTTGATCTGTTTGTCCCTGGGTACCATATTGCTGACGCTTTGTCTGCTTCAGAATTTTGTATCTCTCCATGCTTCTGTCCAGGAGGATTTTACATGTGCTTTGGAGTGCTGGGGGAGAATTTGTTAATGAGAAGTGGTGGGTGGTTTCTGTTGATATAGTCCTTTTCTTTTTTTGGTAATTGTTTTTTACAATATATTGAAAATATATTATGCTTTTACCATTTAGAATATGCATGGAAAAATTTTCCTTGTTAAAAATATTAAATTTTTAGTTGATTATTTTAATTGTGAAAAGCTGATCATCTCTCTTGTCACCGGGCTGCTTGATTGATACGTCAAAGTTCATTCTTACTCTAAGAAAAAAGGCAATATCTTTGCTTTAGAGAATGTATATATAAAATGTGATTTGAAAAATGACCAGTTTCACAGGAAATTAAATTTGGCTTGACTTCAGTTCTCCTATCCAAAACTGATGCAGTAATGATGAATGACAATTTCCGAATATGTTTGTGCCACCCTAAAACGAATGTAGTTATTGTATTCACAAAGTATGTTACTGATAATATGCGTAATACGGCTTTTAGTATGATCATATGTGTTAAGTGGCTGCAGATATCCTTGTCGATGCCTAAATGTGTAACAGCTACAGCCCTTTTTGATTGCACCCTCATTTAAAGCTTGTACCTGCATGTTTTAGGGTTTTGATAATGGTCAGGATGAGCAGTGGCCGGGAGTTTGGGTATTCCCTTACCTTGGGTTGAGAGCCTTGCTTGACAGACCTGATCTGGTCCCAGAGGTGTGGAAGGCCAGACAGTTCCTGAACCAACACTTTTCATGTAAACGGCCGCCAGAGGTTGCTGCAGAACGACGGACACAGCTGGCAATAGGTTTTGAGTTCAAAGCTGAATCCTAAACTTAGCAACAGATCGCACAGTTCAGGTTCTGACGTGATTATGTTCCTTTTAAATGGAGTTGAAGCAGAGGTTAACCCTGACTTCTTCTGTATGTTTATTTTATTGTATAAAAATATGCTTCTCTGTGCCAGTATAATTGTGGGGACAGAAATGTGTTTCGTGCATTGTGTTTCTGTAACTTTGTGTGAAGGAGGTTCTTACAGTGAAAATTAGTTTTTCTAGTGTATACTTGGACAGCACTCGAAACTTTACTGTGATAGAAATGTGAAAACGTGAGTTTTTAGGAATTTGTAAAAATCAAGTACTGTTCTTGATTATGTATCACTCATGTTTATATTTTTCATCAGCTCAATAAGCATGCATACATTATGGGAAAAAATGGCTTCATAATTATACACATGTAACAATTCTTTAATGATTCAGTATGCATTAGAAACAAGAAAATTAAATCAAGAAGTAAACGTAAAAAATATGGGGAAAAAAATCTCCTGAAAGAATATACTCGAGAGGATAAATGGTAGGAATTGTGTGGCATATTTGTAATAATGTAACATCACACATAAATAATATGCTATTTCAGTCTTTTCAGAAAGTATGCTGTGATAAAAGTACACTAGACTTTCTGACGCGTAGTATCAAGCACTTTCATTGTTTGTTTAGAATAATAATACTTTAGGCATCTTTATTTTTTAACTTAATGTCTGTTTCTGTAAATCTGTAAACCTGTCGTTATGTGAGTTAAAAATTATGTATTTGTGTCTAGGACTTGCACGCTCAATTATGCTGAGTGAATTTCTGTGTTCGGAAAGCAATAGGAAAATGCACTTTCTGATTAAGCACAGTTTTTCCATATAGCACCTGACAAAAATGAAAGCTGTAATTTTTCTAAATATCAGTTGCAGCTAATAAGTTACTCTGTGTGTATATGTGCGTGTGTGTGTGTAAAACAAGTAGGATAGTGTGTAAAGAATTTAGCAGCGGTCTGTCAAAACTGTGAAGATACAAGTGCTTCATGCAGATCAAGTCAAAGAAATGCTCGTAAAACCTTCAATGCCACATCATCATTTACGATGCATTTGCAAAAAAAAAAAAAAAAAGGAAGAAAATATTTAAAGAATATTTTATCCAAGAAATTTGATGGAAAGAGTTCCAGTGGAGCTTTAGAAAACCAAGAAATGAGAAGTAATTTCTCTGTAACTAAAATTTAACTACAGAGCCACTCTTAGATGGTCCTGGGGCTCTTTGAAGCTAGAGCCTGATTGCATTTGGAAGGAGATTATTCCTTTTGTCGTGTTATGTTCTGCTACCCGTGCTACAGAGCTGCAAACCAGTAAGTCCACTGACATTCAGCATACAAAGAACGTCACAGAAGACGCAGTGCCTGTGTGAAACTTGAGAATGTGTAGTTTCTGAGAATGGAAACTTTACAGAAAGGTGTTAGGTGCAGGACCACTTTTCTCATTCCTTCATAAGATATAACAATGAGATGTGGAAAATTAGAATAATTCCTTGGATAGGTAACTGTTTATAGGATGTTTGCTCTTAATTGTGGTTTGTGGGTTTTGAAGAGTTGGTGTGGAGCTCAGAGACATCTTGTGCAAGGGCAGGAGAGCTTAGTCCTGTGTTCAGCACTCGCATAGGAAACACTTATATTCTGATTCCCACGTATGGCAGTAATGGAAGAAGTGACATATATTTGGTTAGAAGTTTTTGATTTAGAAATAAAATGTCTTCCTCTTAAAACTGTGAGGGCAAGAATCACTTGTACGTTATTTTCAGTAGAATAAAAGCCACAATTTTTGTGGTCTCATATATGATATACAAGACCGCTTTGACTCTAGGAGAGCTCTTCAAAATTTAAGCTCCATGCTTAGCAAAACCAAGTCCCAGCATTTCTGTTCATGGGCTGTTAACTTGTAGTTTCTAAAGACATAGCAAACATTTCATATAAAATCTCTCAATATAGAATTAGATATTTCCAAAAAGAGTCCTTTGAATGTGTAGCCATTGTTTCAGGGTGTCACCAGACAGGTAATAATCTCAGTAGTTCTTCTTTTCGTTTCACATTCAAAAAAATGTATTTCTAAATAACCTAAAATAAAGGAGAGAAAAAACAAAGTTTTGGTGTGCAGGTATCTAAAATTATATATATATGTACATGTATACTCACTTTTAAAATCTTTTGCACAGAAATGCGTGCTAGCTGTGCCATTGACTGGGAAAGGACAACAGAGCATACATATAACTGCATTTCACACACTGGTAGAATTTTCTTAGTTGTGTGCATTCTTATGTTATATGCTGCTCTTTTAGCTGCCTAATTAACAGCCATTTTTGTCTATATTTAAGATAATAGTAGTGAAGCTTCCATTGGCTGAAGGTCTGAGCCCTTTTATCAGATATTCTGCTGAAAAATCAGTAAATGTTTTTCTTAGCTGCTGCTTTATCCTTCAAATCAACTCTTAGCGATGAACTAAAGGGCTTCCAGCGAAGAAACTTAGCATGTTGAAAGACCTGTATAATACAGACAAACGGGTGCACTCCATGCTTCAGTATCTAGAACCGCTACAAACCCTGTTACAGGGAAAGATTAAGCCTAACTTATCTGCAAATGATTTGCAGATGCAAAGGCGCATGGTCTCAAGTCTAGGAAGACAGTACTAAATAGTCAGGCCAGGCTGGAGTGGAACAAGCAGCAGAAGTTGATCTTTGAAGAGGAACCTGAGTTACTTTTCCTACTTTGAAGTAGAAGATGATTGCTTGAATAAAAATGTTCTCAGAAGAATGTTTGTATGTCTTCATGTGTGATGGTCCATATTTCTATGCCTTATTTTATTTCCCTTGCCCACAGGAAATCCATCTTGCTTTTCTGAAATGGCTTGAGGGAAATGTAGATACTGAAGGATTAAGAGCATCCAGCAAGGTGTCTCTTAAATTTGTTTCGTCCTGTGAATCAAAAATGGAGGTAACTCCATCTCTCATGCCAGTCATCACTGAGATGGGAAGCTTCTCATCAGAACATTTCAGCCTGAAGACATATCAACAGAATCTTCAAACAAAGAAGCTTGGAAAGATTCTTCTCTTTACTGAAGTTACCACAACAACGATGGATCTTCTGGATGGGTAAGATAGTGATCTAGACCATACTGAATAATCTTTCTGATCTGGAAATCACAATCATAGTAACACACAATGTTCAGAAAGAAACTTTTTTCACTTTGGTTTATGTGTTGCCTACAAGCTAGCCAGAGTGAAAAAAAGCTTATTATCTTCTAGATAGGACACAAAATAGAGATCTGTGTGTTCACAGAATATTATTTGGTAATGTATAAAATACTAAGCCATAAAGGATGGGAAAATCTCAGTGTGACAGCTTTTTACTTGGCAGTGGAGTTTAATCATTATTCTTCTTCCAAAGCATGAACATCACCATAGGAAAGTTTAAGCTATTAAATATGCATAATTAGGATACTGTATGCATTTTCTAGTGCAAGTTATTTTCTAAGCTAGTTATTTGACACAAGTAATACCAAGTAGTCTATGGCCTTAATTTTAACATTACTATTTTCTCTCATTCCTTTTACTGAATATTTCACTAAAATGCTCTTTAATAGTTTGTCTGGGGTTTTTTTTAAACATTAATTAGGGTTATGCTAGACGTTCTTTCATCATCACATAGATGACCCTTGTGAATGAGTTGTGGGATACCTTTGAGAAGGTAGTTCATTAGAGTTTTGAATGGGATTAAGCGATATGAAAATCACAGTTACTAAATCTTCGGTTGGAGTCTGTGTACAAAGACTATACTGTTACGTTTCATGAAAAAGTCTGATGGAAAACACTGCCTTTGGGAAGTTGTTGCTCTTCAGGACAGATTTTTCTATGTGTGTTTCTACCTGCAGCTATAACTTTTCTTGGCAGCTACTTTTCAGTATCACTGTTAATTTATCTGCAGAAATTGCAGATGAATTTTACTGTTGAAAATAACCTCAGGAATTTTGTTTCGGATTTTTTTTTTTAATCAACATCATTCGTTAAATAACCTTGAATGTTGTTATTACTGATTAGTTAACCATCAATAATAGCTTTAGTTCTCAGCTGGAGAGCCTAATTTATGAGACCGATGTAAGTTACAGAATATGCTTCCTTGCAAGTAATAAAGATGATTTGTTGTAGAATATATGCACACAAAATCTGTGAATGAGCATGCATTTTAACAGTATTAATCAGTTTCTTGTCTTACAGTTGACAATGTGATAAAATTTGCGAATGACAATTTGTGCTATAATATTGCAATTTAGAGACAGTTGGAATCAAATACAAATTTCTTTTAATTCCGAACTATTATCTGCGTGTGCATATGTATGCATGTGCACACACATTAAAAAAATATTGCTGTTTAATTTTGCCACTCCCCTTCCCCAGATCTACATCCTCATCCTGCAACTGATTTTTGCTATGGCTTTTGGACATAAACAGACATGCTAGTTTGATAAGAGGCCACAAAGATAAGAGTTGTTTTATAGAGGCATTTGTAGCGTTTGTTTCATAATTTTTAGTATTCACAGCATGTTCAGCCCACTGAATTGAAAGCAGAAGTACTGTGAAGAACCTGACAAAGTGATAATTTAATGAGTTAAGACCTTTTTTCTCTGACAGTTGTTTTTGCTGGTGGTTCTCAGTAACATTATTCACACATTGTTATTTGGAAGATACAGTATATAATTCAGAGTTTTGTGAATTTATTTAGATATCACAAGCTAAATAGAATGATGTCTGGCCAATTTATATATGATTATATTATCAAGAAAGGCAAGGGAGCTGAGACAAGTGGTCTTGGTTTTTCAATGGCTGTGGAACCTTTACTCTCTTATCTTTGAAGTGCTGTGCCAGCAGAGTGGTCAGCACTCAGGTTGCTTTTTTACATTAAGCAGTCCAAATGTAGTGAAGTGTTTACAGATGTATGTCTTCAAGATTTTCCCCATAATGATGCAGCTCAAGTAGTTGGTTTTCAGGTAAGATGTAAACTAGAAGTTCTGGCTCTAAGTAGCTCAAACTGGGAAGATGATCCTAGATTATAATTTGAACAATTAAATTTATTTTACAGAAAGACCTTTGTTTTAATAAGTTAAAATATTTGTCTTCTATATTATGGTTGATGTTATTGTAACTACTTTGTTGTCATGGATAATAGAATAATGTAGTCCATGTGACTTGCAATTCAGCAAAGTACCTTGAGACTTCATAGATGATAGCATTTTGTAAATCACTAGAAATTGATGCAAATACCTATCAGGTAATTTTTATTGAAGAAAAAGGTTGGCAAGTTTTTAAGGTACTTCGAAATGAACCAATATGAATTTATTAGGATATGCGTATGACACTTTTTTCTAAATGACGATTCTGAATGAAAGGAAAACATATCTCAAAAATAAAAAAGATTCTATTTGCTTGAACAAAAAATAGGTACCTATTGATCATTTGTGATTCCTAGGTTTGCAGTACTGTGTTTGTGTAATCGTATATTGCAATAAGCACTTGTTACATGATAGACTCTCTTAGGGTGTCTCAAATTTTACCCGGTTTGTGATGATTGAAAATATGATACGGACACCACAAGAACTTAATTAGTGTGATTTTTAATAAATTTAGTTAGTAATATATTTAGTTTGTAATTTACAAATAGATTTAGCATTGACCTTTCATGACTTCAGAATTTCTTATACCTTTCCCACCAACTGAATGTCAAACTTTTGTCTCTCTTCCTCTTCACTTCCCCAAACCTTCATACCCTGCAAAAATTAAGATGTGGAAGGAGAAAGTGGGCTGGAACTAATTTAATGGCTGAGCAACCTCACAGTAGAGAAACAGCCGGAGCCTAATAAGGGTCTTTGTCTGCATTTCCACCCTCACTGGTAACGTGCCAGTCAAAAGTCAAGCAAGAGAAACAGGTGGAAACTATTAGACCTGTCATAAAGTTTGAAAAATTGATTCTGGAGGCTAAGTGAATAGATTGAACATGACAGTGTTGTCCTAAAGATTCTAAGGGAAATTTCTGTAGTTTAATTTGGGATCTCTTGATTGTTCGTTAGCTCTCCAGATGGCAGGTCTTGGTGGTTTGTGTATTAACGTACACACTGTGTTATCACTGGTGTACATTTGTGTGTGCTAAGGTAACAAACAAAGTGTGAATTCACCTGTAGGTATCTAAAATTAAATGGCATTAGTCTAATTGAAAAATAAAGATTTGTTTAAATAGCAGGTAGTGTTAAACAGTCAATGTTGCTTTTGTGATTTCATGTTAAAAGCTTTATTTCAATCATTTGAGGCTATTTTTAAAAGCATTTCCATTTTTATTTCTTAAACTAAAATTTAAAATCCTTACCAAAGATTAGAAGCTCCCTTGCTTTTTTCTCTAAAAGGAAATTATTTCTGTAATTTTCATTTCAGAAACCTTGTTTTCAAAGATATTTATTCTAATGCCACCTGAACAAGTTAACCTTGCCTGAAGCAGTTCCACTTTCTCTGTCTCCTCTCCTCAGAGCATGGCTGGGATTGCATGATTTTAAGATGAAACCATTATTTTTGAGGATGCATCTGGTATAGTGATACAAGTGTTACATTGCAGAGACATACTTATTAGACTTACAAGACTTGAGATTGATAAATATTTCTAGCACACTGTAATTGGCTGGAATGGTTTCACAAGCATTTCATTAAGAAATAAATGAATTAGATATACATTTCATTTTTATTCTTTACTGACACCTTATATCCTGTTTTAATGTTTTTGTTGGTGGAAGATTTGATTTATATGTGATTAAGCCAGCATAGGATATATTCTGTATGAAATGTCATTGTGGATCCCTTTTCCCCAATGTTTAAGAAGCACAAAGTGCTGTTGTTAGGAAGAGTTTGAGACAAAAATGGTGAATTTTGGTGGAAATGAAATGTGGGATGAAGTTGCTTTCATAATTGCTGAATAGGATATTTAAATAAAACATCAGCTTAAAATAAACAGTTTCCAAACAGTTATAAGCTTGAAACAAAATTTCTTTACATCGTTGGTGCCCTTTTAGTTTTCCTTTATGCATTTCTAGATTCATATTGTTAAATTTTTAAATATTTTACTACAGGTGTAATTTCAGAAAGTGAGAATTAGGACTCATTTTATTTTAAGACTCTTATTTTAGTTGTATTCAAGTATACATGCTGCTAATGCAAGTATAAGTGAAAAGTAAGAGTAATGCACAGTTGAAGGAGATTGGAATGGAACTTCAGAGACACAAGCAAACAAGTTGAGACTGACAAACTGTGTTTTGTACTTGGTAATCTATTTGTTTTTTCAAGTCTTTGTGGTGTTTTACTCTATAACACAGTGGCCTCGTGTTTAGTCATTCCATGCACCTCGGTGATCTCTCTTGTTCTCTGTTTAAACCATATTTTTTAAAAAACAAATAAAAATCAGATAGGTTTTGGGGAGTGGGTTGAAATATCATTTGAAGATAGACACTTGGCATTAACATAGCCTTTGCAACATATGCAATACAGTCACAGTGCTTGTTTTCGTTCCATCATCAGACATATCTTTTTAAAGCTTCCCCTCTCAGATACTTGCCTCAGAATTCCACTGGTACTGTAACCACAAGCCAGGATTATTCATCTTACAACTATTGGCTCATCTTGATCAACCATTTTCTTAAAAGCTATGAAAACGGTTTACTACTTTTAATATTATTTTAGCTAACCATGTCTCACAATCTCGGCTCAGGTGGGAGGAGGAAGCTGTTTTGCTGTAACTAGCAAAACCAACTGCAAGCTGTGTCACTGACCTTGTGGTTTCCTCTCTTGAAGATGTATGGGTTGTTGGGGTACAAAGTCTTTGTCTTTTACCATGGTGAGACTATCCTAGTATGTTAATAGTCTGCCATAAATAAAAGGTTTATTACCAACATTAACAGTTTGTAAAAATTAACCCCCTGCACCCTTCTCCCTCAAGAATGTGTTACGGAGAGCTGGAAGATACCTTGGTGGGCAGGAAGGATGCCTTTCACTCAGGAAATAGGCATTTTAAAAATGTGTGCTGATAAATTGGTCAGTTGCCTTTAAATGGTGTACGCATT